CTTGTCTGGTATCAAGACCATTGCTGCAATCTCCTTGGCCCTTAACTATCCTACCATCGTCTCGGTCACTCACTCCCTCGTCAATGCTTACAAGAATCTCATTGCCCTTTCTTTGGCTACTGAGTACTCCTTTGATGGATCTGAGAAGGTAAGCTCTTTTCTTTTTTTGCAGAGTTACTTATGATTAGTAGTATACACACTGAAAATTCGGAGCATCTCAAGGATGCATTGTTGATACTTATTTTTTCTAAATGACCTAACCGACGTATGAACCATAACGGACTTGCTGACTGTCACCATAGGTGAAGGAATACCTTGCCAACCCTGATGCGTTTGCTGCTGCTGCACCCGTTGCTGAAGTTGCACCCGTTGCTGCCGCTGCTGCCGAGGAGGAGAAAGTGGAAGAAAAGGAGGAAGAATCTGATGACGATATGGCAAGTGTATTTTAAATTTTATTTATTTGAAATCTTTGCTGATGGAACGTTCGTAGGGTTTCGGGTTGTTCGATTAAACGTAGCATTCCGGGTAGTGGTAGTAGTAACAATAGATATATTTAGTATGCCAGAGCGATCGATTGTTTGTTCCCCATCTGGACCTTACAGTCCAACTTGCGTATATAAATCCATATCCACAACTCTTCATCTCTCCCTTAAAAGTCAATGGAGGGAGGCCATCTCATCGTCGTCTCAAATCGTCTACCCATCACAATCAACAAAGACGCCAATGGAGACTATCACTTCAAAATGTCTTCGGGTGGTCTCGTATCCGCCCTTTCTGGCTTCAAGAAATCTCTCAACTTCACCTGGATCGGATGGCCAGGGTTCTTTATCCCTCCAAAGGATCGCCCTCTCGTTGATAGGCGTCTCATGGAGGAGTACTCTTGTCAAGCAGTATACCTCGACGATGACGTAGCTGACCGCCATTATAACGGTTTCTCCAATTCAATCCTCTGGCCATTATTCCATTACCATCCAGGAGAGATGAACTTTGACGAGGAAAACTGGCTTGCATATCGCCAGGCCAACATGCAATTCGCGGAAGTCGTCTATCAACAGGTAACACCGGGCGCCATGGTTTGGGTTCAAGATTATCACCTAATGCTCCTTCCTATGCTCCTCCGTGGCATCATCGATGGTCGGGAGAATCTAGGGTCTTTCTCGGGACAGGAACTGTCAAAGATTACAAAAGGTGTAGAGGCAGGTGGTCTGCCATCCAACCATCCTCCCATTCCCGGCGTCAAAATCGGCTTCTTCTTGCATACACCTTTTCCAAGCAGTGAGATCTATAGGTACGTCCATCTGCCACAGTCTGGCCTGTTTACTTAATCTCATGGTTATACAGAATCCTGCCAGTGCGCAGGGAGATCCTGTTAGGCATCCTCTACTGTGACTTGATCGGGTTTCATACATATGACTATGCACGTCATTTCCTGTCCTCATGTACCCGCATACTCGCTCTGCCCACCATGCCTAATGGCGTCGAATTCGAAGGCAGGTTAGCCCATGTTGGCACGTTTCCCATTGGAATTGAACCAGCGAGTTTCATCAACGTGCGTCAAGTCACTCCTTTCTCCGTTCTCCGTTGAAACTAATTTCATTTCAAACAGAATTTGCAAAAACAGTCTGTAAAAGATCGTATATCACAGCTGGAGCAACGTTTTGGGGGCGTGAAAGTCATTGTTGGTGTTGACCGTTTGGATTATATCAAGGGTGTTCCTCAGAAACTTCACGCGTTGGAGCTTTTTCTCACACAGCATCCAGAATGGATTGGAAAGGTCTGTTACGTGAACGGAACATAAGTTACGAGGAATGTGTTGACTGACAGCACGTCGTGTCTAGGTTGTTCTTGTTCAACTAGCTGTGCCGTCTCGGCAGGATGTTGAAGAGTACCAGAACTTGAGGGCTACAGTGAACGAATTGGTTGGCCGTATTAATGGTCGATTTGGCACGGTCGAATTCATGCCTATTCATTTCATGCACAAAAGCTTGGCTTTCGATGAGCTTTGCGCCCTTTATGCCGTTAGCGACGTTTGTCTTGTCTCAAGTACGAGAGATGGCATGAACTTGGTATGTATAATCTGTTCCTATCTAATCGAAGATGATCAAACGTTCCTTGATTCAATTAGGTTTCTTACGAGTACATTGCCTGTCAGCAGGCCCGCCAAGGTGTAATGATCCTCTCTGAGTTTGCCGGTGCTGCGCAGAGTTTGAATGGTTCGATTGTCGTAAACCCATGGGACTCGCAACAAGTTGCAGATGCCATCCATGAGGCAGTGACGATGGACGTCTCAATACGGGCTGAAAATCACCGCAAATTGTTCAAATATGTCAACAAATACAGTGCCGCATTCTGGGGCAGCAGTTTCATCAAGGAGATGAGCAAAATTGATGTTAATGATGTGAGTAAAGAGGGACAGGCAGCGATGGAGGTTGGCGCGTTTGACGAGGCTGGAGGCGGAAGTGTCATCGTCAATGGGGCGGTACCTTTGGGGCAAGCTGCTGGCGCTGCTATGTGAATCATTAAATAAGACTATAATCGGGTTCAGCAGAGAAATTCCCCTTTTTTGGTTTCGTTTTCAATACACGGGATAAAATTGATATTTGACACACTAGACTCGAAGATGGAATCCCATGCACTTGCTTACTTGTACACTTTAGAAATATAGAAATTTGTATGTTGAAATCGCAGAATGACAAAGATCACGCATCACGATCAATCCCTTTGTCCATTTCAGGAATAGGTTTTTCCAGAAAAGGAAAACAGGATGTTCATCGTCGCCTTGGGACCTGGAGTCATGAATGCCGCTTGTCTGTTGGATACATGTCTTAGTATTTTCAAAGGACCTTTCAATATATGCTGCCACAGCGGAATAATCGGACATAAGTAGTTTTTTTTCAAAGCCAGACAAGCAAGCACAGCCTTGTCATATCTTCACTATTTAGTCCGATTATAAGTTTGAACTTTAATTTGGACAACGTGTAGGCATTGCGAGGTTTCACCAAGGCTGGTATGAAAGTACGCTGGTTCATTTATTGGTTGAGGACGTCTGTAACACCATTCATTCTCAGGAAACTTGAAGTTGAACGTTCTTTTGAAATGCCCATCCAAAATATGACTCAATGGGTCCACGTCACGAATATCTCACGCATGGCGGCATGGGTACGTAGTACGGACTAAGGTGGATCAAAAAAGGGTGAAGAGAACCACTTCAGTTCAAACCTTGCCTATGAATTGGCGATATAAAACCGCTGATCACCATGTCGAATCGTAAGAACACATGTCAACTCTATAACTAATCAAGTTACCTTATGTGGCCTCGTGCCACAAAGATATTGCGACCAAGGCAGTGAAATCACGCAATGGAAGTAATATTGGTTGGTTTGCCATTGTGACCCAAATGTGAGCTACTTAGGAATGTGGATAAAGGTCAAAAATAGAAGAATGGTATGTGGTGATTAACTTCCAGCTATAGTTTTCCTTTTATTGTACTACAACTTACTGAACCTTATATAGACAATCGCCGGTGTTAGCACCTTCAATATTAAAACGTTCCTCAGATGAATCACGCAAATCTTGTATGCTCACCAGCCAGATTCACTCATTGACTGCGCCGGAAGTGACGGATTCCATGCGCGTAAGTCGTGTAAAGAGAACAGCCTTGGAGGCTCCTGTCTATACATAATATATTTCGATTTAGGCTGCAGAAAATTTAGAGCGAACCAATCCGGTTTACGTAGGTTCTTGGCAGAAGAGTCAGTATACCCTCCGACCAGCTACTCCATTTTCTCGAAAAATTTATACCGATTTCAACGCGAAAGATCTTAGCTAATCGCCGAGCATGTCAAGCCCTTCACCGTTGAAGAATACTAAGGAAATTTGTAATTCGAGAAATGAGGCTGTGCGTCCGCTTATTATCTACGGTGACAAGATTAGAATCTAGATACAGGTGACGCCACTGAATTTTCGGCATGCACGCAGCACGCGCATTCAGAACTTGAAGTAGAGCCAGTGGAAGTAGATATGTCAACAAGGACTATAGTAACAACTCCTTAACAGGGCTTCTATTAGGACCAAGCAGACTACTTACTTATATGAAAGTGAGCCAGTGATTGCCAGCAGGAACCAACAAGACGATTACCGGGTGCCTGGAGACAAAGGGAACGAACTGAGAGAGTGATAATTCAGGACAAACCATGGACACCTATAGTTGACTTATCTCATATCCTAAGGCGTTCTTTCTGGCCTTTTTTAGGCGACAGAGACCCAGGGTACATGCATGTGAACCACTGGTATTAGGTGATAAGATACCTTATCGTGAACCGTGATCTGACGCGGGGAAGTTGGGGGAAGTTAGAGTGGTGGTCTGTCGAGAGAATTGGATGAATGTGTATGATTTTGGGCGTCCATTGCCGCTATTTTGCCGTGATAGCAGCCTTTGGTATTGATGGAGAATCAGATAATAACAAGTATTATATCAATTGAACCAACAAATGTTTTCAATTCAGTGACCACTAACGGTGAACGTTGTGCGCGTATGTATGTCAGCCTGTCGATGCTCTTCAAGGCGTCTAGTCTGATCTATATCCGAGTCATTTACGAGCCAGAGAAGGGCCGAAGTTTCGCAAGCAAGATTGTATCTGTAAATCAAACTATTCACTGGTTTTCCCTGCTAAGAAATGTCTGTAGTCCTCAGGTTCAAGACCACCACTTGAGGAAGTCGACATTGACGAAATTTAAAGTTGGGAACATACGAATTTCAACTGGGGTGACGTACCAGTGACAAACATACAGGGTGCAGGCACAGGCATGCAACCGTTACGTGTTTTTTATTTCTGTTCATGGAGATGTCAGTAGCCAGTGTTCAAAGTTTTGCCAGACGTAGCGAAAGTCAAATCAGTTTCGTAAGCATCCATTCACATATCGGCTTTGTGACACTCATTGTTGTAGAGATATTTCCACTAGATACTGACAAATATCCATATTTTGAAGAAATAGTAGAAGCCACTGTGGCGCAATGGCTTAGCGCGCTGCTTTCCGGTGCTCACGCATGATAGGCAGAGGCTGTGGGTTCGAATCCCATCAGTGGTTACCAAAAGGAGTGTTTTTTTCGCTGGGTGAATGGTTCGACCGTCGGTCCTAGAACCAAACGGAACCGGTTCTTTCTGTTCACGCACTTTTTTAAAAAAAAATCGCGGTGTATACCCTAGGACCTCCTAGGACCTCCCAATTATCGAGATTCGACGGAACAACTTCGGGTGTGTTTGCCACATTGGAACCTATGACTTAAGGCTTCAAGGGCTCCCAGAGCTCCGCCCAGATCATGAGTTGCATTCAGACCCCACAAATGACCTCATGGCTCCCGAATGTGGTCATGCAAGGGTCATCGTCCGCAGCGTCGTAAAATCCATTGTCCAATTATGAACAGCCTTTCCAAGTCGGCCAGGAAATGGAATTGTCTTAGTTCCCGCAGTAAGTAGGTCTTGGGTATGGCTTGGTACTTGGCATATTGTCACCTATATATAGTAATTAGCCTGTGGGTCCTCGGCCGCCACGGCACGCAACGTTGTACACTGACAATCCTGCTATCAAGGAGGAATGAAAGGGTGCAACTCCGAGGAAAGCAATGACAGAACGTCCTGGACACACAGCCCTCCGCATGGTAAAGTCTCAATAAGCGAAATTTTTTGAAAGGACGCATGTACTTGGCTTAGTCAGCATCGACATGTCACTAAGGACGGATTGAACTTTGGTTGGGCGCCCAGTGACGCCCGTGAAGCTTTCTTCTTTCTGCTCTAGGCGCTTAAGCGCTTAACAAGTAAGGCCACCTCTAACCTGTTATAAGGGCTGAATAAAGCTTCAAGAATACACGGGACAAAAGGTAGCTCTGAATCGGTTCAACCGCTATCTGAGCTAGTTCACGCACAGCCTTGCCACCCAAATTGGGGTATAAATTGAACTTGGACTTAACCGTGTAGAATCTCTTTTCTTTCCTCACATCAATGGCTGGAGGAGGTCAAGACACCATTCCTTCTATCAATATTACTACCGACTTCCCTTCTGACTCTCCAAGTGACTCTCACCATGTTCTGTCGCCTTCCCATCAACTTCAACCATCTGGGTTACTCTCACCACAGTCACCAATACATGGTCCTCCTTCTCCAGTATTATCAGACATGTCTGACTCTGCTTCTTTATATATTCCACCATCCCCCACCCTCTCAAATCACTCGGGTCCTTTTCCATCCACTCTCCAGTTACGCGAAAATAAGCCCGAAGAGAAATCAGGTCTTTCTTCACTAGGACTTCTTAACCCAGATAGTTTTACACACCACCGGAAAGGTAGTAATGCCACTTCCATAACAGAAGTTGCAAGATCGGATGATCTCCACCGTGCTCACTCAAATACCACATCTTTGACGAATGTTGATCACACGCTAACTGACGAAAAGAAGGTCTCTGGCATTGAGGAGGACAAGAAGTCCCTGGGGAAGGAATCTAAAAGAGGCAGGAAAGGTCGTGAAACCGACAACACCGAGAAGGAAGACTTCCAAACAGCCCATGAAATGGAACTTGCCCAAGACGCAGCCATTGATCCAGCTCCTTTCCGATTCAAACCATTCCAGCTCGCACATATGCTCGATCCGAAAAACATTGGATCTCTCATGGGCTTCGGCGGCATAGATGGTCTTCTTCGCGGGCTAGGGACCAACGCAGATACTGGCCTTACGACCAAAACTCAACGCGCAAACTCGTCAGAAAGTTCTCGTAAATCCAGTTTAGGAGCTGGCGAAGGTGCAGCCCAGAGACATGACCCAGCGAACATGGAGGCGAGCGTATCTGACAGAGTACCGGTCATTGTTCTAACTGACCCCAACGAAAATTCATCCGAACCTTCGGAAAATGACAAACCTACCATTACGGCCACTCTAGAAGATAGAAGGCGCGTTTATGGCGAGAACGTTTTACCTACTCGTATCACCAAGACACTTTTGCAACTCATGTGGGCTGCATTAAAGGACAAAGTTTTGGTAAGCGATTCCTTCGCTCTTTCCCTTCTGGCTGATTCTCATTTGTCGTAGATCCTGCTATCGATTGCTGCCGTCATCTCATTAGCTCTGGGGTTTTTCCAAGACTTTGGTCCTTCTCGAGACAAGAACGAACCTCCTGTCGATTGGGTCGAAGGTGTGGCAATCATGGTTGCTATCGCTATTGTCGTGAGCATTGTTTTCGCCATGAGGTTTTACTTCGCCAGACATTCTTCATTTTCAGGTCATCGTTGGCTCCCTTAATGATTGGCAAAAGGAACGCCAATTCAAGGCTCTCAATGAACGGAAGGAAGAACGCGGCGTGAAGGTTATTCGCGATGGCGTTGAGAGACTGGTTGATATCAAGGTATTTCTTACTTTCATCGCTATTGCGGCACACCCTCAGTTCGGTCTTTCCTTAATAGGAAGTCGTTGTGGGCGACATTGCCCTTCTCGAGCCTGGTGAAATTGTCCCTTGTGATGGTATCTTTATCTCAGGCCACAACGTCAAATGTGATGAATCTGGGGCAACGGGCGAGTCTGACGCTATAAAGAAGGCTTCTTTTGCAGAGATCGTCGAGCTCTACCGTCATACTGATCCTGAATACGCCCACAAAGATTGTTTCATAATCTCAGGAAGCAAAGTTCTCGAAGGCGTAGGCAAATATGTCATTGTCGCCGTTGGCAATAAAAGCTTTAATGGCCGTATCATGATGGGTGAGTCGTACGTTAGTTACAGCGTTACAGCTGGTGCTCATTTTTCTTGTAACCCATACAGCGCTTCGTGGCGACATTGAAAACACACCTCTGCAATTGAAACTCAATTATCTCGCGGAGCTCATTGCGAAAATTGGGTCTGCTGCTGGTTTGGCCCTATTTGTTGCATTGATGATCAGATTTTTTGTCCAACTTGGCAAGGGCGAACCTCCACGGTGCGCAAGTGTGCTATATAAAGAATTTACCAGACATTGACATGCATGACCATAGTAACGCAAACCAGAACGGTATTGCCTTTGTGAATATTCTCATCATCTCCGTCACGTTGATTGTGGTCGCTGTGCCTGAAGGTTTGTGTCTTAAAATAGTCTTTATCTCTCCCGCTCATCCATATTTTTATTCAGGTCTTCCATTGGCGGTTACGCTCGCCTTGGCTTTCGCGACGAAACGAATGACTTATGAAAAATTACTGGTCCGCGTTCTGGGGTCTTGCGAGACAATGGCCAACGCATCCGTGATATGTACAGATAAGACTGGCACGCTCACGCAAAACGCTATGACTGTTGTCGCCGGATCAGTCGGCATACATGCCAAATTTGTCCGCAACCTGGACGAGAATGCTGCTCGTACCAACGCTGAAGAGACCGAAAAATCGGCATCCGGAGCAGAGATCGCGCGCAAACATCCTCGGGATTTCTCAATCGAACAATCTCAATTAAATACTGTCCTTTCGCCTCAAATTCAGACGCTTTTCAACGAAGCTATCGCAATTAACTCCACGGCTTTCGAAGACACCGATCCTGAGACTGGCCACAGAATCTTCGTTGGAAGCAAGACTGAGACTGCCCTACTTCAGTTCGCAAAGGAACTTCACTGGCCCGAGTTCTCATCTACCAGACACGCTGCTAAGGTTGTTCAAATGATCCCTTTTGCCAGTGAACGCAAGTCAATGGGGGTTGTAATTAAACGGCCCACTGGCGGATACCGTGCCTATTTCAAGGGAGCAAGTGAAATCCTTGCGAAAAACTCTAAGTATTATGTCGTTCTTGAAAAAGAGCAACATGGGGATGAAATCAAGAAAGAGGTCATCGATGAACTCGCTCAAGAGAATATCAGCAGAACTATCATCTTCTACGCCAACCAGACTCTGAGAACCATCGCTCTCTGCTACCGTGATTTCGACTCTTGGCCTCCTCGTGATATGACCACCGACCAGCAAGGCGAAGTTCGTTTTTTATTTGCTTCTACCAGTGGTTATTTTTAACATAGACATATACAGGTTCCTTTTGATTTACTCTGCCAGAAATTGATTTTAATTGGCATTACTGGTATTGAAGATCCTCTTCGCGAAGGCGTTCGAGACGCCGTCGCCAAATGTCATCTGGCTGGCGTGACTGTCAAAATGTGCACAGGCGACAACGTGCTCACCGCTCGGTCTATTGCTACTCAATGCGGAATCTTCACCAAGGGCGGCATCATCATGGAGGGACCTGTTTTCCGTCGGCTGAGTCAACAGGACAGGATTGAGATAGTTCCTCGGCTGCAGGTTCTAGCTCGTTCCTCGCCCGAAGACAAGAAAATTCTCGTGGAAACTCTGAAGAAGATTGGAGAAACTGTTGGCGTTACCGGCGATGGTACAAACGACGGACCTGCGCTTAAGACTGCCAATGTCGGATTCTCTATGGGCATTGCTGGTACTGAGGTGGCTAAGGAGGCATCTGATATCATTCTCATGGATGATAACTTCTCCTCCATTGTCAAAGCAATCATGTGGGGTCGTTGTGTCAACGACGCCGTACGCAAATTTTTACAGTTCCAAATATCTACCAACGTCACGGCCGTCATCATCACTTTTGTTTCTGCAGTAGCTTCTGTGGAGGAGACTTCCGTGCTCTCGGCTGTACAACTGCTCTGGATCAACATTATCATGGACACCTTCGCCGCCCTTGCGCTTGCTACAGATCCCGCCTCTGAGAAGCTTCTCAACCGCAAGCCCGACAAGAAGCATGCGCCACTCTTCTCTGTGGACATGTACAAAATGATCTTGCTGCAATCCATCTACCAAATCATTGTCATCCTCATCTTCCACTTCCGTGGGCTTGAAATTCTCAATCTCGAGTCAACGGCACACAATAATGTCGTTGTCAAGACCCTAGTCTTCAATGCCTTTGTGTTTGCACAGATCTTCAATTCTGTCAATTGTCGGCGTCTGGACAACAAGCTCAATATCTTTGAGGGTATTACCCACAATCCTTACTTCATCGGGATCACCTTGCTTGGTATGTCTTTTGTAGTTCCTTTTATATATTTGTGCTAACTAACCTTTGCGACCAAAGAAATTATCGT